GGACACAATTCGTTCGTGGGTCAACATGAACCGGGGTTGTGTGCATATGAGTGTGTGTGCCTATGGGGGCATTGTGGAGAATTGTGTTCTCCATGATCGGGAACACTGGGACACCGGGCCGGGAGAAGGAGGGTGAATGACGACAGAAAACGAAGTGGTGTCTGTCTGGGGAACGTGTATGGGGAATTTCAAGCAGTGTGTTGGTATTGCCAGAGAGGAAAGATAGGTTTGCCTGGGGGTATGTGTGTAAGGAATACAGCTCCCATCCTAGAGCTGGGCCTGAGCACAGCCAGCCAGAAGGCTAGCTAGCTAGCCGCCCCAACAAAGAGTGGGGGTCTGTGTTGGTGTTTTGAGGCCCAGTTTGATGAACAATTTAGCCAAGTGCTTCTCCGGGAGGAGGGTGTGGTGGCACAGTGGACTTGGGATCGTAGAAAATACTCAGGGGATGTTCTGGGTCCTAATCAGGAGCTGCCCAGAGATGGGGTCTGAGTGCACGTTAGTGGTCAGGCATCGTGCCTCAGACTGGGCAGCTCCCAGCAGGCAGCCACAGACCTGAAGCACCAGGCTCTACACCAGGCTGAGCCTCTGGGTGCTGTGTGGTCTTGTAATGCTCCTCCCCTCTCTGGTCCTCGGTTTGCCTCCCCTATTGAGTGAGGAAATTGGGCTGGATGGATATTTGTAAATATTTATCCAGACCTAGTTATGCCTGCCCGGGGATAAAAATTCAAACAGTGCGGCATGTATCCATGGATGTGTGGACCTGGTTTGGATGGGGGTGTGAAATAGGATGAAGCTGGTGTTGAGTGCACTCCATCTCGGGTCTCAGAGGGGCTCCCTTTTGTTTGTTGCGGGTTTGGGTTGCGGGCCGCGGGCATCAGGCTCTATTTACCCGGAGCTGAGAGAACCCCAAACCAAGCGAGAATGCTAGCGGCTGCGCTCGGGCCGGGAGGGTGAGCAGCCGTTGGGCCGGGGAACCTGGAGCCTTGAAGGAGGAGACCCGGGAGCTGAGGCCCGAGGGCTGTCAGGGAAGAACGTTCTGTCCCTGGAGGCCCATCCGCGCTCCAGGCCAGGTCTTCGCGGCCCTGTCCAAGTGGTCTCCGACCGAGGATGAAGGGCTCTTGCAGGCCCCCAGGAGCGGGAGACAAGCCCCCTAATCGCGAAGCAGCGCGGCGCTCCGGGCCCTCGTCGGCCCCCTTCCCCCTCCAGAGTCCTGGGAGCTCCTCCTTCCTCTTCCTCTGAAACTCCGACTTCTTCCGGAGGGCCTCCGTCCCGCAGGGCCCAAGCGGGCATTCCTAGGGTCGGGTAAGTGGAGGAGGCACAGGCGGGAGCGGCCACTCCCGTCCCGCAGCGGCCTGGCGCAGGGCTCCGACGCCCTGCTGGCGCTCCGAGGACCGCGCTCCGGGGCTGCCTGCACCGGGAACCGGGGAAGGGACGAAAACGCACTGCTCCCTCCGGGTAGGACGCACAGCTGGAAAGGGAGACGAACAATAAAACGAAATCACCGGAATCGAAGAGAAACGAAATAGGGCCTGGGAGGGCTCGGCCGCCGCAGGGCGGGGCATTGGGCGGGCGGGTGGCGGCCCCGCGCTCACCTCTAGTCCCCCTGTCCTCGCAGACCCCGGGTCGGGCCGGCAGCCCTCGCTGCGCGCGCACGTGCACAAACAGACGGAGAAGACAACCCGCGTGCGGACGGTGCTCAACGAGAAGCAGCTGCACACTCTGCGGACCTGCTATGCCGCCAACCCGCGGCCCGACGCGCTCATGAAGGAGCAGCTGGTGGAGATGACCGGCCTGAGCCCACGGGTCATCCGCGTCTGGTTCCAGAACAAGCGTTGCAAGGACAAGAAGAAATCCATCCTCATGAAGCAGCTGCAGCAGCAGCAGCACAACGACAAGACGGTGAGGGGCTGTGCACCGGGGGAGCGGGTCGGGCGGGGCCCCGAGTTCTGGGCGCGCTCTGGGGAGATCCAGGGGCAACTGGATTCTCCAAATAGCGTGTATTTGCGTGTTCGGAGCAAGGCTTGCCTTGGGGATTAAGGCTGCTTAATTATCGTACCCTCGGTCGGATCTTCTTGTCCCTGCGGCAGAGCTGAGTTGGAGGCACAGCTCCGAGCCCGAGGCGGCGTGGTTATGCAGCTCCTGCTAGTCGGGGCAGGTTGTGTCCTCTTGGCGTGGCTTGGTTTGGACACTTTTCCTCGCGAAAAATGGGCACAGAGACCTCGAATTTCTTTGCTCTGTTGGCCCCCCTTTTGGCTGGACTGTGGTGGAGGTTCCTGGGTCCGGAGTATCTTAACTGGCAAAGGAGGACTACCTGGTTGTGGTGTTGGGAGTGCCTCCGCCAAAACCGCTTCAGGCCCCCAAACCCCTTCAGGCCCCAAATCTCGAGCCAGTGCCTGGGGCCTCAGTGTCAAGGGTGTGGTGGGAGACGCAGGACCTAACTTGAGCATCCTTCACCCCCACTTCTGCTTGTCCCTCAGAGCCTCCAGGGATTGACCGGGACGCCCCTCGTGGCGGGCAGCCCCATCCGTCACGAGAGCGCTGTGCAGGGCAGCGCAGTCGAGGTGCAGACGTACCAGCCACCGTGGAAAGCCCTCAGCGAGTTTGCCCTCCAGAGTGACCTGGACCAACCCGCCTTCCAGCAGCTGGTGAGGTCCTGCCCCACCCACCTGGGCCTCAGGACTCGGAGGGGGGGATTTAGCTGTTTGATCAAGGTGGGAAGGAGGGACTTCGCAGGGGATGAGGGGCTGGGGACAGCTCTAGGCAACGAGAGATAAGGGGATAGATAAGGGGACTGCAGCAACACCTCAGCCCATAATTCGCTCTTAACCAGGTCTCCCTGGATTAAAGCACTGGCAAGGGAGGTCGAGGGATTAACCAACCCGAGCTCCCGCCCTAATACCCCAGCGTGCGCCTGGGGACCTAGCCCATATCTCCGAAGGCCTTGCTTCCAGCCAGAGGCTTGTCCCTAAGGGACGCCCTCGAATTCAGAGTATGCGGCCTGGGAGCAGCAGCTCCAGCGCCTCTTCACCCGCCTCTTCCTGATGTCTCCTCATCCTCAGGTCTCCTTCTCTGAGTCTGGCTCGCTAGGCAACTCCTCCGGCAGCGATGTGACCTCCCTGTCCTCGCAGCTCCCGGACACCCCCAACAGCATGGTGCCGAGTCCCGTGGAGACGTGAGAGGACCCCATCCTCTCCAGCCCGCGGACCTCGCATGCTCCCTGCATGAGATTCACCCATGCTCAAGCCATTCCAGCTCCGAAAACTTTCTCTCGCCTTTGTAATTATTATTATTGTTATTTAAAGAGAGAGGACAGAGAAGCGGTCAGGACAGCCCAAAGCTCCAGGATACAACCTGCTTTCACCAGACCGGAGAGCCCTGCTCCAAGAACTTTTATTTTTTCAAAACCAGAATTTGGGATTTACTAGCATTAGCTCTGCCCTCTCCTCTTCCCTCGCTGCGCGTGGCCAGCGCCGCTCTGTCCGCGCCTCCTACCCGTGGAGAACAGGCGGGGCCCACCCGGCGCGGGGCCACCCCGAACTCGTTCAGGCGAGCCCCTACCCCAAGCCGCGCCGCGCTCCCAGGCGGCTTTGCCCGGGCTCTAAGCGGGGACGATTCAAACGGAACAGACACTGAATCCCCAAAGCGCATGATTGCCGGAAAAAAGTAGAAACGAGACTTTCCTTGAAAATGTTTTAAATTATCAGTCGACGGAGGACAGAGTGTGTGAGCCTTTGCCGAACAAAACGTAAGTTATTGTTATTTATTGTGAGAACAGCCAGTTCACAGTGGGATGGATATTTTGATCTTAATAAAAAAATAATAACCCGATGCGATGCTGCTCCTGTGTGCCGTGGGCGCAGCGGGAGGGCTGGACCGACGCAGGTTGGGGCTTGGAGCTCGTTTCAACGAAAACGCCGCGCGGCGGAGTCCGCCGCGGGGTCCCGGGGGTGGGCCCAGCTGCTCGTGCCCGCGCCTCGCGCACCGCCCCTCCGAGGGCTCCC